TTTTCATAAGACTGCGTGAAATCGGTTTTATTGCAACACGAGAAGCGCCCAAACAGCGGGAAAGCGACGTCCCAGCGGTATGTTGAAGAGCGCTGCAACAACTTTTGGCCCGCAGATTTTAAGTATTTGTGAAGTTTGATCCTAATAGAATCACGAGGGACTGGCAAACACTCACCTGGGCGGAGAGCTCACACGTGTGAAAAAAAATCCACTTTAAAATTTATTTACTTTTTACTCCCCGTGTTTACTCGAGAACCGACGTAAAGACACCGCACCATATCGCCCCATTGAGCGCGAAGAATACCCGTACAAATTCAACATTAATCCACTCTTCAGAGAGCAGTATCATTAAACGATAAATATTTTGAGGAAAACCTGAACCCCCGGGTTAGATTTCGTCCGGGTAAATACTACAATTGAGTTTCCTGGTGATCCGGGCCACCTGTGACGGCCTTAGCCTCCCTTAGGTAAACCCCACGGGGCACTAACGGAACAAACCTGTGCCTCTGACAATCGTTAAGTCTCGGTTCGTGTTGTGTAAGGCTTGTTTTGGTTACATTTGAAATTGGGACACCGTCACAGCTCTAACGATTGAATGAAGTTTTTTTAGCTGACATAAAATCATTGACTGTTGAGTGTATAGGTCTGCTTTAAATACACGCTTGTTCACGACTGACAGGACTTAAAACTTCCAGAGATGTGTCTTTGCTGTTAAAACAATTACCAAAACTGCAGATAGTTCAGCTTATAAGCAGGTAAGCCGAAAGTGGGAGGTGTGTAGTGTTTAACACAGATTCAGGATAAGAGGTAGCGTACAGAATATCGTGGGTTATTATAGTTTATTTTAGAAGTTTATAGTTGATCTTTCTTTGCTTTCACTGGGGAATGTAGAGTAGGAGTCCGCAATGATTTTAACACTCAAATTCGGGTGTTTTTGTAAGAGTGTTTCTTTTTTGCCACCTGCTGATTAAAACACTGAAATTGAAATAATGAGAAGGTGGAAACGATCAAACTGTCTGGAACCTGGTGTAAAACAAAATAGCAGATTTATTTTCCTCTGCGTGTGATGTAATTTCAGACGTTCCAGGTGGCTTTGTGACAAAGTGAGCCTTTGCATGTCCGAAAATAATTTACCCGTAGCGTAGCGAGTCTTCCAGTGATGTGACTTTTGCGTAGGATGCGTGTTGCTTGAGTGGCAGCATTATTGTTAGTTTGTAACCTAACGGATTTTGAGTACTTTCTCATTTATCATTCATTGTTTTCGGTCAGGGTCTGCAGTAGCTACTGTTATTTAACAAGATCTGGGATGTTCCCCATTTGTCTGTCTGGTTGTGACAGTAGAACGTAACGGATTTGTGACACTATTACATTTGTCAATAATGTATCACTCAGTGAATCTTAATAAATTACATTTCATCTAACGGCTACTTTTGAGGCATTGTCTAATTTGAATAAGCATAGGCCCCTTTCTTTTCTGGTCTTTAAATTCAATCTGGCAACGTTCAGTTTAGTTTGGTATTTGGAAGTAATCGCCAAAAAAAAGATATTTCACTGCGCGTGCTTTTTTTTCTTTCTTTTTTCTTTTTTTTTTTTGCCTTTTACCATTTTTTCATTCACGTTTTTTATCGAACCCAAAATCTAGCTTTCTTTAATAACTATTGAACTTTGTCAGGCGGCCCATGCCTGGCAGTTCCGGGTGGTTATAAATAGCGGGTCGGACCATCGCTGTTTGTTTTAGTTCAGGTACGGCAGGTGAGAGCTTCAGGGTTGACATTTGGCAAGCTGGTCTTCACGATATCTCTGGTGACAGTCTAATGACACGGTGCTCTAGGGTGACAGCCAGACAGTGTCATTTAGTCATCAAGGCGGTATAAGGCGTACGTGTACTTTCACCTTGTTCAGAGTTAAATACAGTACATGGTGTTGCGGAGGCAGCAGGCAGGGACTAACAACGGTAATGGTTGATGGTTATTAAACAATGGTTGGTGGAGCGTTGGGGAATCCCTACTTTTTCTCGTGCATGTAAATAGCTAGACTGGATGGCATATTAGGTCGTCTTCAGTTCTTCAGATATTTATTTATTTATTTATTTTGGAAAGAATTGAGGTTTAAGGTATAAGCACAGTAAAATGTTAAAACATACTGAAGCTATTCCGGGAAAACTGGGGCCTCTCCACGCTCTTCTTAGATAAGATAATCAAGTCTTTTTTTAAATATTTCCAAAGTCGTTCAGAAAGATCTGAAAAAGAGGGATTTGCATTCTTCAGAGCATATGTGGTGGCAGTGTATCAAGAAATGAAGGCCTCCCGGGGTCCCTTCTCAGTGTTACCGGTGCCTGCTAGGATATCGAAAAATCAGAACGGAAAAATATCACTTTCACGTGGAATGGTCTAAGCCTCGCCCTTAAGTACCTGCGGTAAACAATCCCCGCCCCCGTGACACGGTGAAAAGGATTTTTGATAAGAACTAATACAAATAAATGACGGTGATCTTTTGATAATGTGAAGAATCAAGCAAGTATAAAAATAACCATTGGAAGTTCAAATTAAATAATAAAATGTTCCGCGGATTTTGCTAAGAGGATTTTCTCACTTTATTTCATGTCTCGGTTTACCCAATTTAACTACGAGTATAGGTTGCTGTCCAAATACTTCAAGAGAGGGTGGATAAAATGGAATTGCAGATGAACACTTGATAAATCTCGTGAAGTGGTATCGTGACCCCGGGGGTGGTGGGGATGGTGGTAACCTCCTTGGCAGGCTGCCATCTGTTTAGCTTTCACTGTGCCTGTCAAAATGTAGGCTATGCAATCAGCTTTTTTGGTTTCCTAATGCCTCTGAATATAGTTTAAAGAATCTTGCACATATGTGTGTTTGAGGTGTTTTAATGTGAAGTATCTTCTGTTTCGCGGTTAACTGCACGAGGAATGAGAGGCACGGTGTGATCGTTAAGCCAAAGGTGTGACGTCCACAGAAGAAAGGGCGCGACACGCCTGATTAGAAAATCAATGATAGATACAGCTTGCATGGAATAAAAGGCGCCGAATGGCTAACTAATTAAACTAACCCTACTCTCCGTACCGGCTGAACTAATCGGTCAGTTTAGCCTAAAGAATACTGTAGAATCTCATTGATCGGGTCGATCCTCTGGCATATTTGTGGCCGCGGGACTTGTACTATAAGTTTTGATATCCGCAAAGCACTGCCCTTCCCGCTTTGACTCTGTGGTGTCGGACTGACTTGTTTTGCCAACAGATCTTTTTCAAAATCAATTCGGTTTTCAAAAGTGATTTGGTTTCATAGTCATGACAAAAAGTTGTGTAATGACGCTCCAACCCACCGGCTATTCATTGGCATGCTTTGCTGCTGATGTGCCAGAGAGTGCGTTTACTCCAATATTTCAACTGCTCATTGAAAATGTATTTCCACTTCTACAGTGAATAATTCATTATCTATGCAAAATAATACCGTGAAACTCGTGCGGCGTCTCTTGCCCATTGTGCTTAGGAGGTCATCGGGTATGTAATGCTGTTCAGCTGATCACAATACAACGGGGCCTATTTCTATTTACTCGCATTCCTTTACAACTTTGTATTTAATGTGTTTGTCCGTGCTGATTTGCGGTAAACATTGAGACAATACATTCAGACAGGGATATGAAAACACTCGGATTCATAGGTGATGACCCGAACCCAGGGCAAAAATTCCAAACAAAAAATATTAGAATAGCTTAATGTTTTGCAACAACGATGTCAAAAATTACAATATGAAACAACACTGTGTCTCTCCGCCCTTCTTGCCGCACGTGGTGCTGTATTATGATTAAATAGAGGGTGAGGCGCCAGAAATTCTCCTCTTTTGTTTGTGAAAACAAATGTTTACGTTCATACATGTTTAATTATTATCAGGTCATGTACCCTCTTATTCAAACCAATGGCATCGCCAAGCCAAAAAAGTTTTCTTTTCTTTCTTTTCTTTCCCACGATACGTGACTCTAATGAATTAATCAAATTGTCAATTCTTATTTAGTTTAACGCTCAAGACGAAGAAAAGAATTGCTCTTAAATATTAACACTGTAAGGTGACGGGGCAAGGTTGATCCAGGTCGCTCGATTTCAGCTCGAATTAGTTCAGAAAACCCGAAATCAACAATGAACGCTGCTATTACAGAAACTCCCAGGTCTACAGTAGTCTAATAAATTTAAGGGGACCCCTTTTTATATATAGAATATATAAATCATTCACCAAGCGACGGTAACCGGGGCAGAAAGAGATGAATAATTCTTTTAAAGGATCGCCAGGCCTCCGTGCACATGAGGTGATTGTCTAAGATCTAGAGAGGGCATAATTTCAAATTAATTCACCATTCTCTGGTAATTTACATGCTGCTACATTGGTTGAGTCTGTTGCAAGGTAAATTTAGATCTGTGTTGTTTTATCCGCCTGTCTATTGCTGGTACAGGAAGCATTAGTTAGGTCCTAGGACAGGCATAGAGGAAGAGGTAACAACCAGGTAGGTAAACGCCTCCGTGAGAGAGAGGCATGAATGAGATGTCATAGTATTTCACAGGGGAGCACAGCCCAATGGCATATTAGATAGAACACCTTCCTTAAATCGCCTGTGGTCGGAGATTTTCACTGAAAAAAATTATAAGCAAGGTTTTTACAAACAAAATTAAACCGATACAATGGAGGGGAGATTAAAGGAACTTATGCAGCCTACTGGTTTATACTGTCAAATTAACTACTAGCTTTTCGCAGGGGGACTGTCACCACAAAGGAAAACGCTCTCCAGATAGATGGATGGGGTGCAATATTGTCCTTTAAGGCCACGCGCCAAACAAAACAGCTGCGCCGGTGTATTTCCAGTGACTAATGAGCACTGTTTTAACATTTTAGAAAACTCACTTTGTTTTGTTTTGAAATGTAGATCCGCGTTTCTATGTTAGTTGATAGGTGAGTCGCTCAGCTTTTCTTTAATTCGGTAATTTAAAAAACGCACGACTTCAACCAAAAAGGCAATAGTTGGCATTGTTCCTTCGACGAGAGCAGAATGAACAGATACGCCTCTTTTGTCTTTGCGACAATGACGAATGTCGTACTTTATCTGACAAGCGACATGGGACTGAAAAAAGGGTGTTTTTTTGGTGTCGGAAGTCCATGTTTTAACACAAGTTACATAGCTCAGATGTCTGAAAGGCTCATCAGCAGTTTTAAATCGCAGGAGTTTGGCGTCATTTGCGTACGCGGTATACTGATTCAGTGGGAAAGTAATTTAGAGCGTGAGAATCTCCAATGTACTTAAACTGCATATTTTTTATTTAATATCTTTTTTCATTGAATCACAAGGGTTCACGATAAGGTTATTGTTCGCACTCGTGTGGCATTGTATCAATGTATCCAACATGTGACAAGATAATAGACTGTATCATTATGACCAATACACCTATCCAAAGTTGTTGTCAGGGCTGATGATCATAGTTCATCAACGTCTATAGACGTCACACGGTGTAGGGCAGTGGAATATCTAATATCAATATTGCATGACAAAGATGATTGATAAACCAACACATTATTTAACATATAAAAGATAAGGATAGAGTAGAACGTTCACAGAAAAGACGATATTTCTTGGAGTCCCTCGGTCTAGGGGATGCGTTAAATTCGATATTTTATGACAACAGGATGTTGAATTGGACTTAATCAAGGTATTATCCAGCAATTAGTGTATCTTAAAGAAGAATCGCATCGAGGCAGTAGAAAGATTTTCGTCCCTTACTTAACGTTATCTTGCGTTTCAACCGTTGCAAGATGTGCGGCTGTCCGACATAAGGTCCTCGGTGGTCGTTTTAAGTTAAATATTCACCAGTAGTGACCATGACTTGATTTATGACCACTGGACAACAAGACAGAACATTGACCTGTCAAAATTGGGGGGACATAACTAGTAGGTAGACTTAATTGCTGGTCGGAAACTCTTGTGACAAATGACGACGCGTGAATACGTTCGCTTCCTCTCTTTCGTCGAGAATCGAGATTAGTTAGCGGAGTTTACTTGGCATTGTCAGACCCAAGTAAATTGTAGACTGACTTGAAGGAAGTAAAAAGCCCGGGAGAATACTGGTGGTTATATTAGATAGACCGCAGGAATCACGCCGGTGTCAAGTGATACGTGTATTAGTGATCAAGGATAAAAGTTTGTTATTGAGGTATGATGATTTTTTTTAAATTCCTTTTAATTTTAGTAAAACCAACTGGGAAATGTTGACTTTTTACTGAAATTATAAGGTGTCGGTGGCATGATTTAAAACTTGTCTACTTCAAGAGGACATACGTTCATGCCCGAAAGGGGAAAAAATGAAATTACTTATATCGTAAATAGTAAATACATATATGTCATATCATTTGTGGCTGCATTGTCAGGAATGTTAAAGAGTACTTTAAAAGAGATGGATGGGAACAGCTCTGGGTAAATAAACACCTGTGTATTGTCGACCACTCTGTCACAGCTGCGTCAAAGCGACAGAATTACATTTTTGTTGACAACTTGACAACTTGACGTTTTTGTGTTGAAGAAATTTTAGTTTCGGTATTTATAGCGTTCTTTCATTTTTGGATCTGTCGGGCACTTGCGAAATACTTGGATGATGAACGTCAAGATATTACTAGTTTAAACTGATCTGGTAGGTGAGAACGTTGTTAGTACTACACCTGTTTTGTAACTGATATTTTCATAGTTTTATTGGTGTATTTGACATATTTTAGTGATGCAACAGCAAACTGTTTTGTTTTTTATAGGTTCGAATATCCCTTTCATTATTCAGGTGACATGTTTTGTAAAGGAGCATTTGGTTAGGGAAATATACCGGAGAAGTTCATAATTTCAAACATACGATTAAATCAGGTGGTGCAAATTATCAGTTAAGCGTCGGGGCAATAAAACTAGCACGGTACGGGTCCCGTGACCGTGGTTTATTAGGCATATCACCCAGCGTATCACTGATAAAACAGCACGATATGTCGCCTTGCTGTCTGTACTATCTAGTCGTGATCTGTGCCCATACAACCTGAAGGTGATGTTTCTATTATTGTGTTATTAGGGCGGATCCAGGGGTGGTGTTAGATGGGGAGCGGTAGCTGTTTGATCTATTGTTTTTCTCAAGGTGTGGTTTGTGGGCCATAAGACCTGTAAGTGTTCTGAGAAAAGGTAAAGCGACATTTGTTTAAAAAATGTTTACCGCGTCGTCATATTGAAATTCTTAATGCTTTGGACAGAGCGAAAGGTAGATAATGGGAATGAAAAAAATTGCCTTAATTCACCATATTTACAAGTTATTTGTTGCTATTATCAGCGTAGCGTGTCCGCATGTCCCATCCCGTGCCTGGAGCGAGGGTGTCTTTGATAATAAGGATGGTGCTGCGACATAAACAACGCTAAAATGAATACAATCTTGTCAAAGTGCGGGTACACTAGAATTGGGTTGGGTAGGAAGCAGAAAGAGCAGTTAATTACCACTACCAAAACTCATAAACCACATTTAAAATGTTATTTGTGAAGGAGTTATTTTCCGCTAAATATCAAGTTACGATCGAAGAGGATTGGAAAAAGAAGTATTGGTTACCGCCTCACATTATTGTGGCATACGCAGAGGCTATTGTTGTTTCAATTGGCAAAATTGCAGAACTTAACGTTTTTCTTAACCTTTCCTACGTGCGTGTCTTGTATTTTTTCATCATTCCCTAAAAGTCATTTTCCCATTTAAAGTTCATAGTGAATAGCAAATAAATACCTGATTCGTATTCTACGTGAAATTGGTTAGAGTGGGAAATTTAAACGATGCATACCAGTCTTGACATCAAATGCCAGTCGAAAAGAATGAATGATGTATCGTTTGACATGAGCTGAGCGAGAATAGTAAAAAAATAACTCGCATTTTATTTCAGTTACTCATAACAGTCAATAACACACCGAGATGTAAGAAATAACCTGTGTGATTCAAAGAACACGTTGTTGTTATGAGTGTTATAATTCTGCAAGAACAGTGAACTTTATACATTGATGTGTCAGTAATTCATATCGCTGATAAAATATTGAAAATACGCTGCCCACATACATATTTCTGGCATGTTTCTATTACTGTGTCCACATTTCTTGAATTATTGTGTTAGTGAAACGGGGGCTGTGAAGTACGCAGAGTGTATCGGAGTGCGGGTCAGCAATGTCGCCAGGACCCCTAAAAATACTTCTAAAACATACACAGAGCGTTTACACAGCTTAAATTTTCGTTTTGCTCTGACATTCACTGAATGTTTATGGGAGCGTGAAAGTTTGAATGGCAATGTTGAAACTACGGGACCTCATCAATTGCACAACTCCTAACAGAAATAACACTTTCAGATTTTTGGGGTTTAATAGAAGCAGGGTGTACACTTATGCTTTTCTTTCAACTAATAATACCCCTTTCTTTGGAGCCACAAGTCTCAATATTTTTGTTACAGTTGTTTGAACAATATAATGTAAAAGACGACAGTTCCGAATCAAGTTCCGTTTGTTATTTTAAGCTATGAGAAAAGGTGTTGAAACTATACCTTTCAAAGGAGGGTTTTATGTTGCAGTTCATGTAACTTAAAAGGTTTACGGTCCATTCGGCCTTTCACCTGATAGAGAACTAGGTAAAGTGACGACATACAAGGGGGAAGGTAAAATGAAACCGTTTTCCATACCCCAAGCACGCACGCTTCGCGGCCGTTACAGTTCTTCAAACAAATCAAAGAATGACGGGAATAAATTACACTTCCACGCCTCACAAGGTGTGCTGTGATTCACGATGTGCACACACTATGACCTAACTTCTGTATAATACTTTGTTTTTCTTCAACACCCCCTTTGAACGCTGAACAGATCTTTCTCTTGGCATTCTCTCAAGGTGGTCAATCAGTGAAAGCTTGAAATACTTTGTCAGCCAATCACTGGTGAGAAATGTGTGTCACATGATCTCCGGGCACCTCGAGTGTTCTGTTGCCTACACACATTCATAAATCACAGTGGTTGTGCTTGGGTTGAGTTGCCTTTACTCTTGGTGCTATGTGGAACTAGATTGGAACTTGTTCTGACTTGACTTGAGTAATGTAGTGTTTTGTTTTACTACAACGACTGCCATTGATTCTTTCAGAGTGATAATATGGATGGAATCCCACCAGGTGCTCCAGAGATCCCCGTACTGGTTGGTGGGTGTGAAAAATGGGTGACAGGACTCACCAAGAGAACCACGTGCGATGATGTGATCTACGCTCTCTTACAGACTGAAAGGAATACTAACTCCTCCATTGACACCCAATCTTATGTGGTCTTCGAACGATGGAGAGACATGGAAAGGCCCCTTCAGGGTCGGACCAAAATATTGAAGGTTTGGAGAGCGTGGGGCAATGAGCAAGAGAATGTGACGTTTACTATGAGGAAAATCAACTGTGTTAAAGATTCGAGGGAAGTCATAAAATCTCGAAGGCATCGTAAACCGGCCCGTGACAGATCGGAAAAATACGATCGCAGGGACAGCTCTAGTTCTAGAGAGCGAAATAGTGGTAGTCGGTCCACGTCCAAGGAGAAGGGACAGAGAGTCGACAGACACAAAAACGCAGCTATAACGACTGCATCTCCCTCTCGACTACAGACTCTAGAACAATTGGTACAGAAAGTTATATCCCAGGAAAAAGTGATACAGGATCAAATGGCTCGGCTCCGTGACACAGACAAAGAAATCGAGGAACACGAAACCCTTCAGCACATCCACCGGGTGCAAGAGAACGGAGAAAACTACGTGCAGGATGCGTACCTCAAAAACATAGCCGAGGACAGCTTGGAGGAGGTGTTCCAGGGAGTCACTCCAGAAAACATGGAGACTTACGTGAAACTCCTGGAACAATTAGTACAGTTGGACGACATGATTAACCAGGAGCAGACGAGAATTGAGAACCTCTCGTATCAAATATTGGATGAAAGTACCACGGAGGCTCCATCTTCAGAGAGCGACGAAAGCCGGTGGGTCCATGACAGGATGAGGCAGGGGAAGGGACAGTCGACTTCCGAGGTCCTACAGGAGGCCAACATCCTCCGTACTGCCTTGAAGAGAAGTATTTCTCTGAACTCGTCGCAGAGAACGGAAATTGAACGGGTGAATACTACGGTAAATGACGTTGAAATGCAATTAAGGCTTAAACGAGAATACCTCACAAGTTTAATGGAAGAAATAGAGGCGGAGGAAAACCTCGCTGGGGAAAATTTTGACGAGGCGTTTGTATCTCAGGACTATCCACCAAACGGTGGTGTTTACGCTGGCGAGGTCGGTGACGAATTTGACATCTCCGGCGGCGAGGAAGTCATTAGTGATAATTACTATTCAACGACACACATCCCATATGTCACTGTTCATACTTGGGAAAACGTGTCAAAATACAAAAACGAAGACAATGACTCAAATTCAGACACGGGACTGAGTTCTCTCCACAGCGATGAGGCTACTCCGACGCCTATCCTAGAAACCCTGGTCTGACTCAGTGATTTGGTCAATCAAAATATCTTAAACATCTGGACAAACATCGTGAAACGTTTAAGACCACCGGGACGCATTGCCGTGAATTACAAATACTATCATGTTTAATGGATCAAAATAACATGATCTATGTGTTTTCCAAATTGAAGTATCCTAGCAGTCGTCTGTCAAAATAGACCCTCGGTGTTAAACTGAGTTTATATCAACATGCTCGGTTTCCTCAGAGCAGATGCTAAATCTTAGGCACTGGACAGTGTATAAACTTTGCAACCGAACTATGCAGTCAATATTGCAGGGACATTTCCATCTCCATATGTAAAGAGTCGAAAATTTCTTGCTAAATTTAACTTCAGCAGTTTGAAAACATGACAACAAAGCGACAGTATCACAATGCGATTTATACAGCTGATTTGTAAAGTATGGTAAATATTCGTATGAATACAGTCTTTATTTATGTAACCGTTTCTGGTGTGGTATTCTCTCTCACTCTTTTTTTTTTCAAACCCCGGTATTGGTACTTGTAAGTCAGACCATTGAAAAGAGGCGTGAGGTATGTACAACCGCACCGCGCAGCTGGCAAATCTCTGACGGGTTAAAACAACTATGGGAGTTGTGTTTTTGTAGTAACACACTGAGGCTAATCGTCCGCAATATCGTTTCTTTTGTTTGTGCACAATGTAAGTGTGCTGAGGGCGGGGACTCCAGTCTTAGGGGAAGGCTATTAAGATAAATAATAATTACGCTACCGGATTGCAATCAAAACTGGCACACGTGGCCCCGAAACTGACACCGCTTCAGTAAAGTGTGAATAATTACAATCCCCCTTTCTTCAGGTGTTAATGTTGCTGCGTCAGGTGCTCAACAATCAAGAATCCAATTAAGAACAAAAAAGCAGGAGGCCAATCAACACGTTCACCAGGCTTAAAGTTGTTAGGGCAAATTCCTGCATTTTAATGGGCTTAATTAACTCGTGATTAGGTTGTCATTAATTACCTGACACCATCGGATACGGGGTAACACGTGCTGGTGCAAAGAGAGCTGGGAATAGCCGTGTTGATCCGACACCTCAGCTTGGATTACATCTTATTTCTAAACAACTTCATGTGGGCCTCTACTTTGAGGGAAATAATAACAGTTTTTAATCCTGACACGGTGTTGACACGCGGCATTCATGTATGTCATTTAACACGCATATTTGGTGTTTGTGAAACCTAATTACCCATAATGTTGGCTAATAATGTTTGCCAATGGTAGCTTTCTGTACAAAATGGATATATGACTTGGCATTATCGACAACATTTGGCAGGTTGTAAGGGAATACGCTAGTATCATCAAATTTCGATAAAAATTTCCACACGAATCAGACGGTCTTACTTACAGTCCGTTAAGCAATTTTGAGTGGTAAAAGCGTTTCGTAGGCTGTACCTACTTTCTAAATCACTTAAACTTTTTACTGCTTTTACATTAAAGTAAAGTGCATCCTCCTCTTCACTGAAGAAATCCTGAGACTTTTTTCAGGTCATTTGAGACGACGACTTTCTTTTTTTTCTTTGTTTAAGTTTAGTATGACTGGTGTCGATGAGTCAACTTGACAACAAGAAAATAATCAATTGAAAATTTCCAGTAGCCAGGGAATACTCTGCTTTTGCTAATTATATGCCAACAATCATTAAAAGATTTATAAATAACGAGAAACTGGTGTATTAAGTAACCGAAATTCAAAACAAAGTTTACGTCAAATATTCCATAACAGCCATTACTAATGGAACAATTTCAGAGTCAACACAGGGGAGAAACGGGGTAAAGTTGACGATAGTTCAGGTCAGAAGTCCGCCATTATTTCACATACGCAAGCCGAAGTGTATTTATAATCTGCATAAGAAAGTGACATATTTTCTTAACCCACGTGGTGAGCGTGTGCGAAAGCGTGCTCATTACAATCGAATGTTCAAATACGCTCAATTATACAATACCAATTGAATCGTTTTAATAGCCACATCGCAATTGTCACCTTTGCCGGCGCTCGTTATGTACAAATTAGAGCCCAGGGCAGTCCTGCCTGAATCAATATTTTGAACAATCTTAATTGTCGCGCCAAGGGCAGCATTTTTTAAAATGAAAGTTAATAATTATTTGATGGCAATCAATTTTTCTGCTCTTTAAAAAAAGCGTCAATTAAAATGGATTCCAGGACGAATATTTGAAGTTTTTTAGTTATATTGAGTAACAGTCTTCAATCCAACCATAAAACATGAAGCACCCATAACTGTCAGTTGTATCGACAGCGGTAAAAAAGATTTTTTCTTTCTGTCACGACCTGGTCCGCCATCCTTGCCGTAACATGGTGTCATTCGGATGTTAACACAAAGAATTTTCGCCGAAAGGCTATGTTTTAAAATGTAGTGCTTTGTTGAAAACTTTCAAGCCGGGTTCACGCCAAAGTGGCACAATTAATCACAACCTCACGCTCTCGCCCCGTAGCAGATTTTAATTCGGGAATGAGAAGCAACAACTATATCACTGTCAACTTCTCACCACTTCTGTCTTGTAAAACAACTTTCCTTGTTTTTTCCCTTTCTGAAACACGGGTATGCCATTAATCAATTCACATGGCAAGATGGAACCGGAGAAACAAGCGCGTATAAAACATGAAGCCGGGGTTGGGGTTGGGTGGGGTGGGGGTGGTACAGAGGCACGTGCTGGGATGGCAAGGAACACTGTACCCATGTCTTGGAGGTCGTGGGCGGGGTTGGGGTAGGGGTGGGGGGTGTAGGGTGGAGGAGAAATCTGTTGAATTCAGCCAATATATGGCGTAATTGCGTGTCGAAATAACTCCTACGCCACAAGTGTGATACTTTCCCTATTGATTCCACACACTTTTTCTTTATTAGATGGAATAAACAGCAACCGGCATCCCAGTGGATGGGGTGGTCGCGGTCTGTGCAATAAACAAGAGATCTATAAACATGAGTTTTTAGTATATCTTATTGTCAAATCGGGATGTTCCTGAAGAAACTACGTACATCATACATGGCCACACAAGGTGCTCTGCTGCAGCTGTGGCACAGTGCGGCTAGAACTGTCTCAGCTCCCGCGGTCTGATTTATCGGCCCCACACTTGGATGCGCTTGAGAAGAACTCGTGTCGGTTTATTGTACCATGAACCGCACATATGCAACAGTCGTTGGATAGTCGCTATTTTAAATTTCTTTGGTGTATTTGGTGGTTTGCGCTGTCCATGTATTTGATTTATAGGTCTGCCTCTTTGGCGCGAAACTGCAGTCCTGTTACAATAGATATGAAAAATATAAGATTGATGCATACCAGCTTTCAGAATTTTATTTTATATTATTTATCTGTTTATTGGGCAAATTTGTGAAATGAAGTAAGATATAATGTAATATGGAAGTCAAGCTGTGCTTAAAATTGACCCGCCAGTGGAAACATAAAACGCTCTAAAATCACTTAACGCGGGAAAGAATATCTCCGCACGTATGATGCTGGATGATTAATTTCAGCAATATTCCACGTATTTCAATGAATATCTAAGATGTTCAACTATCCCCAGGACATGTTAAACCAAGGCCGTAACCTAGGGTGCTAATTATAATTTCCGTGACACGGGGGCTAACGTGGGGGTATATTTCATTCTTCGTTCAGTTATGGTCTTGGTTTTCTTGTCTATTGTGCCCAGCCCTGATCTGTAAACAAACACGAACAGCTCTGGTCCCTAACCATAGCCATAGAGTTGCAACATCACAGTTGGGTGGTTCGTAATGAACTCCCATACAGTGCCTTTCGATACACAGCCCCCCTCTTGCGGCGCAGTAAAACAAGCCCACATTGTACGAAGCCCAATCAAGTGTGAAGTTTGATTTCTCCTCTATTTACCTTCTTTGGTTTATTTTACATGGCGCGCTGGACAACGTGGAAGGCCCAAATGCAACGTTATCCCAGCTTGTGAGTATTGCGTAATTGCACAACCCCTAGTGGAGTCCCATCAGACCCAGTGTCACCCAAAGAGAAAGAAGGAGCAACTTATTACCAAACTGATTGAATAGCATTTCTCCTATTCGGTGCATTTTACTTCATATTCACCCTTTCTTGTTTTACTTTCGCCAAAAGATCACGTCGTAATTGTAGGTGTTACAATAAGCAGATTAAAGGTGTAAAGGAAACAATTGTGTAAAGGATTATATTCTGTTATTCCAGTTTTGTGGTTTTTACGATAATTTTGCAACTATCTACAATATTTCTCAACACGCTTACCGCCTCTCTATGGAAAGACAGTTTGGTGCAGGGCTCAAGCATTTAGGAATACTTAGGGTTAAAGGGGGCGCTGCTTATTAACCTAATATCAGTCTACCGTGTTAGACTTTTGTCTAATGCAAATTTGAAATCAGTATGTTCGAAAATCATTGAGTCAGTGTGACCTTCAGATACACAGGGTCTGTCGGTCATGTCGGTCATGTTGCGCGTAGCCTGCTTATTAGCTATATGACCTTACGTTCTGGCAAAGATATCAAAGATAGATAGGTAGAAAGATAGATAGATAGTTCAGAGAAACGACAACCAAGTAAAGCGATAAGCTTCCCGACACAGCCCTGACACCACTGTCTTCCGTTTCTCCCGCGGGTTTCTAGACTTTAAAATGTTTCACACGGTATTTCTCAATATTTTTCCATCACTGATCTTCTAAAAAGGTTAAATGAATGTATAAGTTTATTTCGATGGTAATATTTTAATATGTAAAGGCTAACGTAAGTTACTTTTATTTTTGTCTTTTGTTTTTTGTACATGGACCTGATGGAATTCGTTTCCTACGCTGATTCTGTTTTAAATGATGTTTATGAAGTGGAACAGATTGCGTTTGTTGAGATGATCAGCCGTGCGACAACTGATGCATTGTAAGCAGGCTTTCATAGTCCACTCCAGATCTGAGTTACCCTCTACCAGGGCCGCAGACTTTATAAATTATGTGTACTTTTCTCAAACGCGTGGAGAAAAGTACCACCGTTTATCTAGAGACATATCTGTGAATATCTAGTGAAAATATCAATCTGTGGTCCTGGTGGAGGGTAGATCTTAGTCTATGTAAAAAGCTAGGCCTAAATAGATTCCCTTATCTTTAAGTAAGTGTATTTCTGAAATATAAAAAAACCTACAAATCAAGATAAGGAAACAATCACCACTCATATTGAGGAACTCCAGAAATCATATAGTGAGCAGCCACAAGTATTGGTATGGTAAGAACAAATTGGACATTCATAGTCTAAGATCAGGTGAAGCTACATGCACAATGTCTGGCTGCCTCTTAAAAAGCAGCCCTAATGGAAACCGCAGTAGACGTTTATATTAAAGAGAATAAAGGAACAAATTTGCTTCACAACCAGTATGCTTTTAATCTTTATTTATCGTTGAAAATAAGATAAATGAAATGAGCACTTCATCCCCAATACAGTGTCTGTGATTATATTATATTATATTATATTATATTATATTATATTATATTATATTATATTATATTATATTATCGTCTGAGTGTACCGAATTAGAACATAAAAGCAAATAGCAAACACGACAATGTAATTGACTTTAGACCATTGAAATGGGATGTGCAGAATTTGGAAGAAAATATCATAAATCAAAAATGAAAGGTGTTTGTCATACCATATGCCCCTATTGACCTACCATACGATTTGCCCGATACATTTTTATTTACGTTTGGCTGATCAAAAAGGAATTAAGTTTGGCCAATTTTTTTATATATTATGCTTTAGTAATCTGATGGGGGGGGGGGGGGGGTGAAAGCCGTCCAATATGCACGTCGATATGATGGTGTTAGTTATCTTCTCTCCCGGTCAATCATTGGTTATCTGTTGACCTAATAAATAACCGATAAGCCTAATCTTAATAATGATACACCAAAACTTAAATCTAAATCTACTGTCCTCATTGTTCATTATAAGTAAACAACAGCACTGTTGTATGATAAATACACTAAATGGTACTTCTCTGAGTTTAACAGACACAGTTATAAACTGTATTCGAATTCAAGTTGACACAAAGTTTTAACATTTCAGACTATTGCCTATTTGTGGTTGGAAAGGAATAAACATGCCACGGTAAGTAACACCTTTTAAGGATATTAAAATATCTAAGGGCCACGGGCCCTATCTCCCGGTCACACGCCACTTTTTTCGGTATAAGTTTTTTCACTTTAAGTGCATAAACCCGAGAAGTGCCCTGTATTAAGCTATATACAGATATATCATATTTTCCATGTATTATTTCATATTTGCAAACGCCCATCAAAATAAGAATTCGACAAAATGATAATGATAAACTGTACTTCAAAATCAAATGTAATATTCTATACGTGATGCTATCCCTGTATTTCACATTATCAGTAATTTACAATTTCTGTGAAATATTTTAAGATCAATTCACATTTTTCCTACCGCTCCCCCAGGACTGGGTGTGGTAAGTGATGGTGTAGGCATTAGGGTAGTGTTCTTTACAACGCTGAAGCTCGGTGTCGGTCATCTGGTTGAAATCCTTGCAATGTGTCTTGGCACCGCCCCAATTAAAGGGGTTGAAGTAACATGGCGGGAAGACAACATAATCATCATGGTACTTTGTATAATTTTTCAGTGCGTCCATTACTACTTGTGGTCCTGTGACGAACTCCGGTCTCCCGGAAGTGTTGTTTTTAGGTAGATCAGCCAAAAGCTGAAACGGAAAAGTTTCTCCCATGAAATATGTCATTATATTAACATCAATGTGACAAATAAAAAAAATCGAAGGCAATTCAATTACTCTATTAATGAATGTAAAACCAGTTGTATTAATCAGCAATGCTCCAACCGATTTACGAACAAAAGCTACGTGCGATGGGGGTATAAGTTTAATCCCGAACCCTTTTTAATTTATCTCATTTACACAATAACTTAATATATTCTACTTTGAACAGGAACAGGAACTTCACCACAACATATACTCTTGCTAAAAATGACGGGATATTCCCACAGAATATTGGTCCTGCCCTTTCAATCAGTTCAAATTTACACATGTTTTATTCAACTAGTGAAATAGTTTTTTTTTACGTACCTCTACAGAGGGGTGACAAAATTATTGCACAATTTTGCTTACAGTTGAACAACAGCTGTATTTGCTAGTTCTTTTCAATTAGTATTTTATTGAAAACTTTTAATGTCAAGTTAATATCTTCACTACAGGTTTACAGAACAGTGATTTTCCCTTACAAAACGCATGTTATTATGTCAGTATTTATATTCTGTAGGGTAATCACGTGATCTCAATATGGCAACAATCTCAGGTTTTTAATGTCTCTCAGGTTTTTAAATTAGGTAAGCGCCTGGTGATTAGGCAGGCCCTTCCACCCTGTTGATTCCATGCTGGTAAAGTCACTCTTGTATACAGCCCTGGTCCTGGGGTAGATGTTAGGCGTGATCTGCGTAGATGTTATGGGGAAATTTTCTTTTGAATTACATGCTTATTGCATATCATCCTATCATCCCGTCAAAGATTTTGTCAATCTGCTCACAATTGTTATGCAAGGAACACAAGAAATATTATTCTATGAATTTTGTATACTATTGTAACTTTTTACGATAATTGACTAATGCTGCAGTCAACTATAGAAAGGGTTTTGTGACAAGATAACAGTGGTCTTTTAAAATGATAATTATATCTTAAATTTTCGAAATATTTCGAAATATTCCATCATTTTTTTAGCAGGAGCGTTTGTTACCATTTCTGCAGAAATACACAAATATTCTAGGAAGAAAAGGTCAGTCAAATGGAACGTGTTAGTAGAGATCTCACCTGTTTCCAGAAGGGGTGTCCGGCTCGTGACATCATGAAGGAATTCTGTATGTATGGGTAATCTGGATACTTGTGTCCGTCCCGGTGTAGATCCATTGATTCAAATATCAAATCTTTAACAAGGAGGTGCTCAAAAGACCTAAAACATTCGTAATCCAGATCCACATATATTCCCCCGTAATGGTAAAGGTAAAAATATCTGACGGCATCTGCTCTTTTGATATTTGCGTCATATGCGTCGTACGTCTTTAAAAACCATGGGTAGTGCGTTTTGATAAACATTCTGTTGTCTTTGTCTGTCCATAATTTATATTCCCAGTCAGGAAAACAAACTCTCCAAGACTTTTGCCATTTTGCGAAGCGTTTTGGTAAATCTTTGGTTTTCCAGGATTGATGAATAATTTTAGGAATCACTAAATTTCTAGTCTGCAATTTAATTAAGATTTCCCTATTTATATCTGGAGGACACGAGAGATTTAATCTTTTGATGTAGTAGAATGATTCATTAGTAATTTTCCCATTGGATTGTTTTTTTGCCGCTGTAGTCAGATATAGTTTGTTCGAAATGTTCCCAATCGGTTGAGCTGTTGTGTTGTGGTTACTCGTGATCCAATGTTGCCGACTCTGACCTTTTTGAATGGATGGAGTCGAGACGGATATCGCAGCATTTTCTTCTCCCCTTGATTGATGTGGCGTCACATTTTCACTCTTGTGCGAAGTCCATAATTTCAAAATGATTACTGCTAAAAGGAGGAAGATAAGGATTTTTCTCAAATGTCTTTTAAAATAGATTTTTACACAGCCTGATTGTAGTGCAGCCATTTTTCAATACTTCTCTGAGCAAATTCAGGATGCCTCAGTGATCAGTCTGATTTAAACATCTTATTTTCATTTAAGTGTAATGGATATGGGGTATTCAAAAAGTTCTTGGAAACCACTTGTTTATTGATAATAGTTTATTGAGACGTATAAAATTGAATTTACCGGTTCTACTTTCAAAGTAATTATATGTACTTCTTTTAGATATGCACTTTCAAAAAACAGATCTGATGTTTTTATTTCATTTTTTTTCTGCTGATTAACGCGATTGTTAAAGAACACCGTGAACTTTTTCAACACTGTACGTTGTCAACAACACTCTAATCCAAGCCCACATAGTCTACCCTCATTGTTAATTGCCTTCAGCTCAAAACACTTCGACTAAAACATCCCTTATCACATAGTATATGTATTGCCTCAGTGAAAAATCTGCATAAATGTTATGGGACAAATTTCTTTTGAATTACATGCTTATTAAGTATCATCCTATCATCCTGTATAAGATTTTGAAGTTGATTAACAATGCGACACAATGTTGTCCAGAGCCACTGGCGGTGACACAGAAGGGGTAATATCAGACACCTGCTTCCAATTTTTAAAATCTCAATTTTTTATGTCAAACTAATATGCATCATCTGAGTTAAAACCCCATGTCATATATTGGGGCCTCATACATATAATTATCAAAAAACGGCCAGGGAGTTTAAGCAATGCACGTCTTTTATTTCCAGGTATATACATGATTAAAGGCACTGATATCATACCACGTTTTCTCACAAAAACGTTCACAGGCTTTTAATACATTATGTTTCATATTTCAATGGTATGCCCTATCCTTCCATGAGGGTTGCCAGCAAAATCTCGCTTAAGTATGTCATCACCGGAGTTATTAATACTGATTGATATAGCCACCTTTAAAAGACGAATAATAACATTAAACAAGGCAGCAAAGCTGTCAAATGTACAGACAAAAAGCAGAAAATAATAATGCACAAAATAAGGCTACTTTCAATTCTGATGCAAAAATACATTATGCTTAACTGCAAAGTCAACATCAAATTCTAATTATGCGTAACAAGTAATACCAGTGTAAGTAAAATAAGTAACAAGCATAAGGCTTCAGGCCCATGAGAGTTCAAGTTCATACTTTGAAAACGCCAGAATGAGAATAATGAAAATTAAACCACTTGAAACTACATCTCCATAGAATAATTGAAAATAAAAAACAATGTCCACACTGTAATGTAATAAGTAAATCCCTTTGAAAAAAAGTGAATAATAACGCTGAGAGCAAAGTCAGCGGCTACATCTATGCTCTGCATTGAGTCTGATATCTTACGTAAAGATCTCAATATTGTAAAAATTATTTTTATGAAAATTCACTTCTCACTCGTTGTCAAAACTAAGGAAAGTGGAAGAGTTATTGTAGATGATTACGACAAACATCGCTTAGCTGTTTTTACTCCCACTTTCGTCCAAACCATAGACCTGAATGTGGTTTTATGAAAAATAACATATAAAAGTAGTAGAAATAGGTCATCTTTTGACTGATAGTAACAAACAGTCCTCACAAACTTTTCACTTCCGTATACGACATGCCCCAGAAGAAAACCACAAAGAGATATATCACTTTTCATTGTGTTTCGATAAAAAACGACGTTATGACCTTGATCTAGCACGGCAGGCTGAATATACAATATATGTACCAGTTCCTTCCTCAAATATCTAAATGGCTGCCCCTATAATAGCATTATAAGTATGGTGTGTTCTTATATCAAATAGATGCCAAGACTTCGAAGGATGGAGTCGTTGAGTGCATATTTTTCAGATGGCTGCAGGTAAAATTCAAATGTAACTTGGACAAATAATACGAATTATTTGCCCAAAACTGAAAGCAAGGCGTAACTGATTTCTCACTGCAGTGGTGTGTGTGAATCACTGCTTGTTTGGTTTTAGAATGCTCGTCATGAAGTCCCTCATTACCAACAGTGTGTCCGGCAACACTGAATGACATGTTCCACAGGCTGTCGCTTACTCACCTCCATCATTGGAAAGTTTGTTGTTATTTGGGTAGCTAGAGTCACCGCTCGCACTGTAACACCAGGGTGCATATCATCATCACCTTCACCATCAATGCCATCATACATTTATATCACCTATATTGCCATGCTGTACATTAATGATCGTTGCAATATGATTTGTATCTTCAGAGCGCAACCTCTGTGGTTTTTTATGATGGTCGCAGTCTTACCGGCCACCACAGGGAAATCATTCGACGGGTTGTTGCGGCGGACCACGGACGGGCGATACGAGGCCTACATGAAGCCACCGTACAAGTCTAACCATGCCTCGTTCATAGAAAGACTGTCCAATGAAGACATGGTCATAGCTTGGTTCAGCGGTTCTAAGGAAGGCGAAAGTAACGTGAGTACAGAGAAACCTTAATACAATATAAGATATTAAAGATAAGAGGAAAGTAAGATCACGCAAAATGCAACATTTTTTTTATGTTTTTAGGTATCTCTTTGTATTGTATACGTCTTCACGCACGCTAGTAAAAACTGTTAGGTGTTGCCAAGTGCTGTCACTGTCCCCTGTGAGGTTGATTCAATGGATTTGGAATTAAAACATGGACATTTATTGAAATTACTTATTTTTTCTAGGTTGCCATAGTTTTTGCCCGTCTCCCTAACGGCACATTACAGTGGATGAATCCGCGCACCGTCTCACAAAGACCTGGTTATTCTAACCAAAATCCCGTCCTGTTCGCAGACAACAACACGTTGTTCCTCTTCCACACTCAGCAGAAGGCATCATTCACAAGCACGTGCAACAGTGACGTAGGCAGCGAAGGTGAGATAGGCATGACTTATTTCATATTACATATTTAGTCCGTGAGTTGTATGTTTATGTTATAAACATATAACAATTAATTTACAAAACAATCAATATCGATATCAAAACCATTATTCGTGAAAAAATAACTTCCAGTGGCAAAACCATGCTCCTTTTACCGTTTTCCAAAAAATGAATTGAGTTTATTGACATGAAGACAACCTCCAATCTTCTAAATACGTGTCAAATAAATAGATGTCAAAAATCAAATGATTTTATTCTCTTTCATTAGATTCCGCTCAGGTGTGGGCTCTAGTTTCTACAGACGGGAAAGGAGAAAAATTTACTAAACCAAAGCTAGTTCTTTCCAAAGCTGGGTCATTCGACCGCAATCGAATTATTCGATCCCTGAAGAACGAGTGGCTATTCCCGACGTACTTTGCAGGGGGCTCTTCTAAAGACCAACACTCGATTTTGATGGAGAACGCCAAACACGATCCTTATTCGTCATGGGTTGGGCATGCTTTTCCAAAATCTGACTACTTAGTGCAACCAAGCGTAGTCCGTCCCGTTCCAGGCAAGTTATTCGTGCCGTTCGTCTATTCTTTTTTTTTCTTTAAAAAATTAGAATGGATTATCAGCACGTTTTTGTGGAGCAGTTATTACTAATAGACGTTTGCATAAATGATAAACCCACCCAACCGCCGTCTTCTTTGATCCACGATATAAAGTATTCATTTCACTTGCAATAAGACATTTTATTAGGGCTCCACTTCATGCTATAAGGGGACGTTTGATTCACAAGTATGCCATGTCTAGAGAAAGCATTTTATTCACCACTGTTCATTTATAAATTCAAGAATCAGTTAAGGCACTAATACTTTCAGTGCTTATTCGAAATGTCTTCAAATAAAAGTCCGATATTAAAATAAGAATGACTAATTTTTTCAGGCAAGCCGAACCTTGTCGTTTTCTTCAGAGATCGGCGTGCAGGGAACATCTACAGGGCAACCAGCCCAGACGACGGTAAAACGTGGACCACACCCACCAAAACCACACTTCCTAATAACAATAGTGGGATAGAAGCAAACGTTTTGAAAAGCGGCCGAATCGCTCTGGTGTATAACCCAACCCACCACGCACGTGACCCGTTGGTAATCTCCCTGTCGGAGGACCAAGGTAAAAGTTGGAAGTATACGCGCACACTGGAGACCAGCAGCAGCGGGAAGAACGTTGTAGAATACAGTTACCCTTCTCTACTACAGGACACAATGGCCAGAATCCACGTGTCCTATACTTACAACAGAGAGACAGTTAAACATGTCATTATACCCAATGAGCAGTGGATAATGAAAACATATTAAGAAACTGATATATCAGACCTAAGTTGGATGTTTTATAAGCCAGTAAAAAGAGGTTATTTTCAATAGATTTTTATTCAAATTACTTATACTAACGAATAGATAAAAGCCTCTTTCACTAGATTCCACAACTTATATTTTGAGGCAATTTTGTATAACATTTTTATTATTATATAACCAGAACAATATATTGTATATATTAAAATGGATCTAGAACCAAAACACACACACACACACACACACACATGTTGGCTTCATTAAGATAAATATTTTATAATTAAACAGTGTGTTAATATTGTTTAAAAAGCAAACATGTAAATGGTTTTTCATGTTTCAGCAAAATATGTATCATGTATAAATTTTTCTAAAAAAATAATAGAGGAGCATTATCAAAAAGGCACATATGATAAATAGCCAAAATTTTTGCAGGGTGAAGGGAGTAAGTTCATTAGGATTAAACAGAAATTATATATATATATATATATATATATATATATATATATATATCATTTTGGCAATTATGATGCAATGTTACATAACGGTTAACAACAAAATCAACACTAAATTTTAACAATGCACAATAGGTAACAGAATATGACTTCAGGCCCACGAGAGCTCATATTCACATATTGATTTTTATACCATATGATAATTTGTACCAGAACAACTCTAAACCGTTTGGTGAACTGAAGGCAGCAATCACAGGAAAAAATCAAATAAATCTCCAAAGAGGAATGTGCTCGAGTGTTTAACAATTTTGCACGACGTATGCAAGTGTGTCTCCAACACCATGCAGGCCATTTGGAGCATATTTTTAAAAAGAACATAACTTTTATGCAAGTCGACCAAGATAACTGGAACTTTGGGAAATGATCGTACACAGACTGAAGTTTAAGTACTACCTTTGTAAGATTTAAAAACAAATGTGGGATCTGTTTTTATGGGTGTTACCCTATACGATACCGCTGTGTGAACCTACAGACGCTTCCTTGAATGAGTCCAGAACGAGTAGCAACGACCAAACATTTGTTTGCGACCAAAACGCCATATTCACAAAAATTACCAAGCTCAACCACGGGGTGTAAGACGAAAAATTTGCTACCCTTCAAATGAAGAGAATTGACTTGCAAACGCAAACAGAAGTGACCTGTCCATAAGTATACACGTAGCATGCCAGTCTGCTCAGATTTGCTAAACAGGGAACACAACCATTTCTCTAGTAATTCTGTCCACTTCCTTACTTTCATAATTGTTCACTGGTCAATGTTACAGCCAGCTTTAAAAAAGGTTTTGTGACAAGTATCACAGTATTGTGACTCTGATTTCCAAAATATTCCATCATTTATAGCAAGAGTGTATATGAGGATTTCCGCAGAAATATACCAGGAAAAAGAGCAAGGTTACTTACCAGTATCCAGAAGGGGTGTGCAGCTCGTGAAATCATGAAGGAATTCTGTATGTATGGGTAATCTGGATACTTGTGTCCGTCCCGGTGTAGATCCATTGATTCAAATATCAAATCTTTAACAAGGAGGTGCTCAAAAGGTTTGATACATTCGTAATCCAGATCCACATATATTCCACCATAATGGTAAAGGTAAAAATATCTGACAACATCTGCTCTTTTGATATTTGCGTTATATGCGTCGTACGTCTTTAAAAACCATGGGTAGTGCGTTTTGATAAACATTCTGTTGTCTTTGTCTGTCCATAATTTATATTCCCAGTCAGGAAAACAAACTCTCCAAGACTTTTGCCATTTTGCGAAGCGTTTTGGTAAATCTTTGGTTTTCCAGGATTGATGAATAATTTTAGGAATCACTAAATTTCTAGTCTGCAATTTAATTAACGTTTCCTTATTTATATCTGGAGGACACGAGAGATTTAGTCTTTTGATGTAGTAGAATGATTCATTAGTAATTTTCCCATTGGAATGTCTTTCTGCAGCTGTAGTCAGATATTGTTTGTTAGAAATGTTCCCAATTGGAAGAACTGTTGTGTTGTGGTTACTCCTCATATGTTGCCGACTCTGACTTTTTTTAATGGATGAAGTCGAGACGGATATCGCAGCATTTTCTCCTTTTTCTCCCCTTGTTTGATGTGGCACCACGTTTTCTTTTTGGCGCGAAATCCATACTTTCAGAATGCATATTATTAAAATGATGAACGTAAGGATATACTTGAACTTTCTTCTAAAAGAGATTTTCACACAGGCTGATTGTTGTGCGGCCATTTATCATTTCTCCTCTGAACAATTTCAAGATGTCTCAGTCAGTCGTTCATAAAATATTCCGTCAAACATTAATTCAAGCATCATGGGGGTAAAAGTATTAGCATATAATTAAATTGAATTACAAAGCGCTAACATAATGTACATAGTAACAATTCGCGCGCTTAATCAATAACCTTCATGTATACAGGAACCCACATAGCACAAGCACACTGCTGTTGGGGCAGCTTTGGCATCAGTGGTTCAAACGTCATTTTATCCTTGGGCCCACAGTGGATCACCCAGACCCCATCCCTGCTAGGTACTAGAACGGGTGATATGAGCTTGTAATTTCTTTCGTTTCCGACCCGCATATGCAGATGCTGGATCGAATACTTACTTTTTGCAGAAATTTTTTAGGGAAGGTACACATTCATAATGTATATTTGGTATTTTTATGTGTTGATGTTGAACTTAACATAAGTTATTTGGTGCGTAACTTCAGAAACCAAGTCGCCCGCCGGAAGTAGTTCCAGGTGAACGCTATGTCAGCAGCTTTGACGTGCACGACATATAATTAACAGACTTAACGTCACAAGCCGTTGTTGTAACTGGCTGTCTTATGATCTTCAACAGAAACACAACAATTAATAGGCCACAAGTTGTGCAAATTGTTGTTGTTCTCCAAACCCATCCACATCCCCAAATCGCTGTTCATTCTCAAGGCATGGTTTGCACACCTGAAGAATCACCCCGTTTTGTGGTTGCAAAATGATTTTTTAAAAGATTGTTTAATTAGATAAAACAGTTTCTGGTGAAAATCTGAAAGAGGCCAACCCTCGATTTTGATGTAGAACGCCAAACACGATCCTTACTCGGCATTGGTTTGACGTGCTTTTCCAAAATCTGACTACACAGTCCAACTAAGTGTAGTCCGTCTAGCGACAGGCAACCGTGATGTTCGTCTTTTCGCGTTTTTTTTTATAAAAAAATTTACTATAAGGACGATTGCACCGCCCCCTGCTAACTCGAAGTCTTTGCAACCGCAACGCAATATTTGAGTGGCCGTAGAATAACAGCCTTGACGAGTCATTAAAATTAAAATCTAAAGAAAAGGCTTTATCCAACTTTTTTTTTTATTTTCTCGACGGTTTTGGATGGGTATATACCTTGGCAAATAATTGGTAAAATGATATTTCCAGGAAATTTAATATACATTTAATACATACAGATTTCATGCACTTTGTGTGCTTTTAACGATAGATTTATACTTTTCTATTCTTACTTTATATAGTCAATATTCATAATATAATATACTCTAAACAAACATGGCAAATAGCTCTTTCATATACATCCACACACAACCAATATTACATGAATACATGCATGAATATATTACACGTGTACATGCTGCTCATGTAACTGTTAAAGCACTCAAACAGATGATTGCACAATTAATTCAAATTTTGTTGACTTCACTGAGATAATATTTCATAAGTTACACTAAAAATGTTTTAATATTGTAAAAAGAAAGAAAAGCATAAATAGGCAGTTTTCCATCTAACAGCAAAATATGCAGAATTTGCATAAATTTCCCTCCTACCAAAAATAAATAAGCATTATCCAAAATGCATACAATAAGCAGGTGAGATTAAGTGCATTTTGGCAGAGTCAAGGGTTGAGGAGTTTAATAAGATTCCTTGAAGTGCAGAAAGGATTCACTGGGGGGTTTTATACACTGGTGTAATGGTAAGGTGAAATGTTGGCAGTTTAGATGTCTTTTCAGCTGGGGTGATATTGGCATTTCCCTACATATAGTTATATGCAGTGCATATTCATACTGGTCTTGGATTTGATGACTGCTTACTGCTGGTTGAAATAAATGGTTCATGGTCACCGAGTTACATAGTTCTGCTCAAAATAAAGAACTACAGAAGATGGCGTTAATAAATAGAAGTTGTTCAGTCTGGTTTAGAATACAATCACTTTTTTCAAAATCAATAAATTGGTTGAGAAGACTGTCACTTTAATTCAGTCAGAGGATCCAAAATCACTGTGTGACTCTCTGGTCTCATCCAAGTCACTGCTGAGGAGGGTGCATCAACTGGTGGACCTCCTGAAAAGACTGTGCGTCCAGTGCGTACGCCGAGCCAAGTGGCCCAGGTCCGTACATGTTGTGAGCTGGGATCATGTGTGTAGAATGCACTGCCTGCGTGTGGGTTATATGTGGGTGCTCAGGGTGGGTTCTCTGCTGTTTGTCACCCACAGTGGGTGTGGGTTGCTGTTGAATGCCCTGTAAAGTGGGATAGTGGTATATGGGGTGGGAGGAGTAGATGGCCGAGGGGGTGCCGGGGACTGACGCTTGTACAGGGGTGTGATCTTGTTCATGGGGGTCTTGTGGGAGATGTTGTGACTGATGCTGCACCTGTTGTTGTTGTTGTTGTTGATGTAGTTGGTGTTGTTTTAGTGCAGTATCAGCCAGCTGGGAGATACTGTCCTGTACTTGTTGGAGACTTTCCTCGGCAAGTTGTTTGGAAGCCTGCTCAATATTATTCATTCCACCATCAATAACTTGTTTTGTGTGGACTCGCATGTGCTTGTGCAGGGTTGACCCATGAGCAAAAGTCTTGTTACAGACTTTACATTTGACAGGCTTCTCACCTGTGTGGGTACGTGCATGTTCCATCATGGTTTTCTTTTGTGTAAATCCACGCCCACAGTAAGAACAGACAAAAGGCTTCTGACCATAATGAATTCGCAGATGCATGTTAAGATGACTCGTGGCCTTAAATCCTTTGCCACATACATGACAGACCTTGTTGCGCTCAGCAGTATGACTTTGAAGATGGCACTCATAAGAACGCTTGTGGGCAAAAGCTTTAAAGCATTCTGAACACTCATAGGGCATTTGGTCTCCGTGAGTTTTCTGGTGGTCACGCAGATAGTATTTATTGGCAAACTTTTTTCCACACTGCTCACAGAAATATTCCTCAATTTTTCCACCATGAACTTTTTCCTTGTGAACATTAACATACTGATGACTTGAAAAGTTCTTACCACACAAATCACAGGGGATTTGTCTTGGGCCTTCTTTGTGGCGACGCTCATGGATAACCAGTGCTGTTTTACTACGGTACTGCTTGCCACAAAGCTCACACATGTATTTGACATTATAGTGTCGACTTTCCATGTGGAATTTTAAGTCTCTGGGGATTGCAAACTTATGATCACACTCGGTGCATTGTAAGCTTTTTGCAAAATGTTTCCTCATCAGATGTGTCCTCATGTGACGGCGGTACTCACTCTTGAAGCTACAGTGGATACAGACGATCATTCCCTCAACAATCTTGTAATGCGCCCTCCAGTCGCTGGCTGATTTGGCAACAATTACACCATCATTTGAATCATTTGATTCTGTTTTATCCAAAGTCTCATTCAGTTCTCCTGTATCATCAAGTGCAGGTTTTTCTGCGTGCGACACCCCCTTTGAGTCGGCCTCACACTCTGCCTCATGCTCTTCATAGGCATTCTGGTCAACAAATTTAGCTTGGCAATAAGCACATGTGTAGTATTTCCAGCATCTCCGAGTTCTCTGACCACATGAGTGCCAGCGCAAATATTCCTTCTTCACGTATGCCTTCCCACACACTTTGCATGGATACCGCTTAACTTTAGGCTTACATTTGTGAATTTTAAGTGAATGCGGGCTGACGTAGACTTTTCTACACTTATTACACTTAAAAGGTTGTTGCTGCATGCAGTGTCTTTGCAGGTGCTTTTTAAGTTCTCCTTTATCCATAGTAGACTTGTCACATAGAGGACAGAGCCACTTCTTTGGTAAATGATTTTCTATCATGTGGTTACACCAGGTGGTTATTATTTTAGTTTCAAATTCACAAAACTTGCACTTCTGGTTGACTTTAGTTTGTTTTTGTGTTGGTGGTCGGGTGAAATTATCTTCTTCATCTTCTCCTGGTTCAACAATGTCTTCATCATTATCATCATCATCATCATCTAAAGCTTCATCCATTTCTTCTTCATTGTAAATGAAAGAAGTTTCTTTGGCTTTCTGTTTTCTTTGTGGTTCAACAAAATCATCTTCTTCATAAACCTCTGGCTTTGGTTCAGCATACGATTTGTTTTTCTTGGCCCTTCGAAATCTAGGGACCCATCCAGGAACCCCTTCACAATTTTGTGACTGCATTCCCTCTTCGGGGACTTCTTCTTCAGCTTTATTTTCATTCTTTTCTTCAACATTTCCATTTGATGAGCCAACCTTTTCATTTCTATCTGAATCATCAGCAATCAGAGCCTGTTTACTGAAGGCCAAGTCCTGTATCTTTCTAAGTGCCTGACTCTGCCTGTACTTGGTGTCCAAGACATCATGGAATTCTTTGATATTGTTCCATGTGCCATGGAGGAGACAGGCGCCTACGTCATCTGGAACTGTTTGTACTGAGGTCCCACTCTGGAAGACACAAAAATGTTCATGTAAGTACACAGATACACATTGTAGCAAGAGATAAATAAATGTTCAAAATATAACTAGATATGCTTAACTGGAGCAAAGGATAAATCACATTTTAATAATACTCATGTACAGAGTAGTACGATGCACATTATACACAGCAGTGATCAGAGGAGAGGACTGCACTTGAAGATTACTTTATCTTTTCTGGCTTACAATGACTCACAGTTCATAGCTTAATTTTGCAATGAGAATTCATTAGTTTTCCTTGTGACACTAAAATATGTTCTATTAGTGCAATAGTATAAACAGGAGAAGAGTTTGCAGCCAATACCACCGTACATACATTTACATGGGATACCTTTTTCATGTCTTCCAGTGGCTGTACATGTTGTAGTGCCAGCGGTATAATGAGCAAAATTAGGCTTAAAACGGAGGTTTAGATGGCACCTCCCTAGTTACTGCCTTTATAAGTAAGTATGTCGCATGTTCGTGAATGAACACAGGTTTTATTCTTTGCTTATGCCAACCCCCCAAGAAAGGTTTGCAAATACCGCAAATGAACGGCATACTTACGGGCTCGCCATTGCTCAACTCGTAATACCAGTCAAGTCCATATTCACCTCCAAGATCAGAAATCAACTTGGCGAAGAGTGGCACCGTTTTTATCACATCAGAAGAAACCACAGCGGTTACTTCACTGAACACGGTCATTGCTAAGGTCTAATAAGACCATCGTTTGGGTAATCAACCGAATTTACGGTAATTTTCTTCGCCCCTTTGTGATCAAAGTACACTTTTTCCTTACCTCCAATCACTGAAGAGCGTAACTTGGCGAACCTTTCATTGCAATAATTCATGCAAAGCAGATGATGAGTTTTTTCCCCCTGATTTTTCTTTTTAGGGACTTTTTACTTTTAAAAATATTACAGAGTACTAACAAAACTGTGTTATTAAAGTTGGTATAATTTTTAATTTAATTCAATTTATTTCTTTTTGGTGCATATTTTAAAATTTCATTACTTTTTAAATTAATTTAAAAAAATAAAAATAATAATAATACCGTACGTAAAGGAGCAAATATATCTTTGCACAATGGAAAAATGCACTAGTTAAATTACTCATAAAGTATTCCAACTTAATAGTGAGATACTTGGTGTTTACTAATTTATCATGCAGCATATATTTACGATTATGTGTAACACAATAACATATGTAGTTAAATTTTACAAAATAAAAATATGCTAGGAGTTACCAAGTAGAGCAATTACTCCACTCCATATCTTAAATTATTCCATTATAAAGTTGGAAAGGGAGACTAAATTATCTTTGTTGGCACTGTTAAACACTTTGTATAATTTACTCTCTGGTGACCTTGCATCAACTTTTAGGATTAATATTTTACTATGATCACTAAGGTTTGTTTTATGCAATGAAGAATAAAATGGCATCTATCTTCATTAACCTCTTGGGTACACAGGCAACAGTACACCTTTCAGTTTCCATTTTAATCTTCCCTGGTCACTTTAAAATCAAAGAAATAAACATTTATTGTAAAGAAATACTCAATTACCTATTGATTGTAGTTTCACTTCTTTTCCATAAACCTTTCCCATTTATTCTGAACTCTATCCTTCAAAATTTACAGCAACACATAATTCTGTTTAACACAAATTTTAACTTTTTGACCGAAAAAAACAATCACACAACAGACACAATGTAGCAATATAAAGTTTTTTATTCGGTTACCTCTAAATCAAAGATGCATATAATTATTCACATAAAATGGTATTTATTCATGACACACAACCCAGTGAGACAGGCTCTTTATTAAGACAGGTACATAAGCTGTGCTTGTTAGTATTTAAAAGCTATGTGCCTTTATTTGATTTTATTTGTAATGTAAACCCAAATACTATAAAACCCTTTTTTTAACAAAGAAAACCTTGTAAATTAATGTCCATTTAAATGCAGTTGCTTAACATTACAGTCAACTTGCAACTAGCAATTAATAATAAGTTATGTTATAAAGAATATATAGTGTAAATAAAATTTCTGGTTCATAAAACAAAGTAACAGAAATAGATATATGCATTAAAATGATAATTTCTCATTCAAAGTGTATCTTTATGTAAAACACTGAGCAACAGTCACATTAAGCTGGTCCCTTGTGTAACCTAGGAAATGACACATGATGAGTTGTTTCTTTTCAGACCTGGTGGATGAACTGATGAATTCCTGGCAAAAAATAGCAGATAATATTTTGTTTTAAAAAAAACTTATTATCAAAAAAATATAATTCAAAAGTGCTACTATCATATCATCATCAATTTAAAATACAACTAAAAAATTAATTTTAAATCAACAAAAAATGGAAAATATTTTTGGGGCAAATTTTGCCTTAAAAGTCATGAATTCAGTGCAATTTTCAATATAATTATAAGGGAGAGAGGAGAGAGTAATCGAGTGAAACAACAAACCTGAGATTAGCACCATGACTCGTGTAATAAATTTCCGTTGAGCTCTCCTGTCCACTGCCACTACTAGATATCATCTGCTGCTGATCAGAGGTATCTGCTGAGGAACAAGGTTCACTCTCAGATGACAAATCTATCTCAGAAGTCACAAAAGCATCCATTTCAGCAGAAGTCATGAAAATATTTCCTTTGTCATATTCCTCTTCCTGGTCTTCATTATCATAGCTGTTTTCTTCTTCCAGTTGTTCTTTGATGACAGATAGTTCTTGGGGCTGCTAAAAAGATTTGTTCAACGATTCCAGTTATTTTTATATTTGATTTAAAAGAAATGCCCAAATTCTTTAATTGAAATAAAATTGGCAATTCTACAAAGAACAACTAGCTATTTATGTTAAACAGTGAATACACATACTAATCAGAAATATACTTTGAAAGTCATTAATATTGACAATATTATGTCTACAATATATAATCGAACTGTTCTACATGCCTGCTTTAGGTCTGTTTGATAGGAGTCATCCATATCAAAAGCATCAATATTAGGTGATGTGTTTTCACAACTCTCCGGACTACTGGGGACATCACAGCCATCGTTGCTACTGGTACTGCTGAGCAATTTCCTTCTCTTTCTCCTTGGAGTTATACATGACATGTTCTGTTCTAGGAGCTGTCTGAGTTGTGCCTTCACAGGAACAGCAGCCCCTGAACCCTTTTTACTGCCTTTTCCATTTTCCTTTTTCTGAAAAATAATGTACAGTGCACATCACTTATTTTCTTATTGGGCAATTCCTATCTCTAAATATAGAACTCACAGATAATCATTGTATAATTAAAAATTTAATACATTACAGAATCTACAATTTTTCAATTATCAGGAAGGAATTGATTCTTTGCTTCATCAACGAAAGAAAAATCTTAACACTTCAAGATGAACTTCAAATCATATAAGCTGAAGTACAATGTAGCTTTGTTAAAGAAAACATGTAGTGAAAATCCTTTATTACATCTGCTAATTTTCTCTTTTCCTGTTTCCTCATCCTCAGAAACCCTGTCCTCCTCATTGGTTGCTTGGCACTGCTCTCCTTTCTCAGGGTCTGTCTACACTCCTTGTTTACTCTGGAAAAGCCAACAACACTGTCAGAACATAGACTGTGCATATGAAAGTAATGTGAAAATCAATCTTGATCTCAGCTGATATAGGAACATGCCTTTGTTGTTTTTTCATTAATTGTAAACTGGATTATCCTTGCACTTAAATTTGGTTTCAATATACATATACATTTCTAACAAACTGTACAAAAAACCAAGGAAACAAGAGAAGATTTTCTTATTTTGCAGAAAATATAAAGACATTATCATATCTTGAAAACCAAACCATCACTCCACAAGTGAATGGATGCAAGTCCCTTTTCACATAAAGTCGCATACTTGGCCAGACAGACTGTACCAGTAGTACTTATAGAGGCCCACATTTAAGTATGCTACAGGCAGCTTTACTACCTTTTCTCTGCCACTTACTTTGCATATAAATTTACTTCTGTGACGCAATATCAAATTTTTTTACCTACCCTATTGCCTCCTCTAAAGCTGTTATCCAGGAACTCACTGTCTTCTTGTCTTCGGAGAACAACAATACACTCTCATTCTTGCATGTCACCTGGTTAAAAGTGTAAGCTAAATACTACACCTGCATAATTCTGAAGTCTGAGGAAAGGTATTGCTATGATAGTAATTAATTTTGTCAAAAATTGTCGTTTAGATTTTCAATAATTCAGTTAGTTACTAGGCACGTCTGTCTTCTAGACTCATATTGGTGAAATCCTGCAAGCTCTCTTGATGAAAAATGATACAAACACAAATTATAGCTCAAAGTATCTGTCCAAAAACAGAGATGAAAAGATCTCATTGCTCGGACGAAAGGTAGCCTAGTTTTTCACCTTAAACAAATCCCCCAGCATTCTCTCCACATGGCAGTGGTGGAGAGGGAACACACAGCAGCACACATACTTGGAGTTGAAAGGTTTGGCATACAGTAACATGTCTGAAAACAGGAAGAACATACGCTCATGGGATGAGCAACCTGTTCTTGAAATCTGTGAAAAAGAAAAAAAATTGTTCTGTTAGAATGCCATTTATTCAACAATATAATTACCAGCTTGCAATTACGAGAGAAGTAAAATGCTTCGGTTCATGGAAAAATTGTTAGAAACAACTTCTTTTTGCCAAATCTCAAGTCTCAAGTAATTTTACTTTAAAGTTTAAAGTTGAAATTTTTAGCCTGTTAGATAAAGAGGGTTCTTAGACTACTATACCTTTTTTAACATGCCATCTTTGATGAATCTTCTTCCAGGAGCAACAATCCTGGGAGCTGTGTTCCCTGTCAAATTGTTCTGTATTGCCAGCATCTTCTGGAAGTTGTCATGCTCCTTTATGTGTTCGTTGATGTGTGCGGCAACCCCAGCTATCATTATCGCTGCATCTAGGTGGATAAATCAGAAATTAAACACTTGAGGGAACACATTTTTTTATTTCTAAAGGGACTGAAAAAAAAGCATACCAACATACTTTAAGTATGGATTACAATTTCTACAAGAGAGGAAAATAAAACTAATACTGGACTAACAAAGTAATAAACCAACAGAGAAATGAGTGTCAGTGACCCCTCAAGTTGGTCACATCACATGACAGGTAAGACAGCTAGGTGTCTGCTCAAGGACCCATTCTCAGTTGTGGGAGAGATGAAATTTCCTCCACGGTTCAGTGGTAACGATCGCAAAGTTGCTTTATTACTTTGTGAGCCCAGTTTTAATAGTTTTTTTTTGCACTTATTATATATTACATTATCTGGGTTAAAAAGAACATTTACTCTATTGACTTCAAAGATCCCACCTCTAATATTTACATTTCATAACTGACATCACCAGTACCTTTTAATGCTTTATAATCATCATCTTCAGGTGGGGTGTTCTCTAGAAGATCTTCCAGTAATAACTTGTACCTGAAATACACACACACATCAGCATCACAAAGGAATCATTTACCATATACTTATGAGAGACAGGCCAAAAATGAAAATTGGTGTTTTAAAACTATTTTACACATAAGTACTAATTAAAATGAAGTGGCTTGCAGAACATCTTTCTGCAATTCATTAATTGCACTGATTTTTCTAAGACAGGAAAAAAAAAAAAAAAAAAAAAAAAAGAATTTTTGCAATTATTTGAAGAGAAAATTTTATACCTTGGTATTCTTTGCACAGGTGTAATAAGTAAAGCATTGAACTTTAGACCCATTACTTCGGGCTCTTCCTCCTGAGCACGCCTGAATGCAGAAAACTCGGGCTTTTTCTGCTCCCATTCCTAACACAACAAAACAAAATGCAAATTTTTATCTTTTTAGAGCAGCAATTAATAATGATCCTTCAACATCACCTTAACTAAACATATAGTTAACAAAACATTATAATGAAAAAAGTTCACATGATATTTACAATAAAGTTCTTAACACCAAGTATTAATGGTGAGGGCGTCTCGATAGTCCGAAGGTTCATTGGTCCGAAATGTGGTAACATTTTCATCGATTTTTTAATCAAGGGTTCATTGGTCCGAAGGTTCTATAGTGAATATTAGGACCAATGAACCTTCGGACTATTGAACCTTCGGACTATTGCTATGGCCCCTTAATGGTGACAAATAAATTCAACATTTAACATCATAATCTTTATAACCACAGCTCCACTGTAAACTCCTTAAATCAGACATGAGCCTAGGTTAAAAAAAAAAAAACCCTCTGACCATTTATCATGAGACCCAACACCTAACCTTGATGAATCTCAGGAACCATCAGAATTGAATTAAAAAAAGCGGAATTCCACTTTTCTGTAGAAAAAGCTCATGTCTGTTAAATCTACACATAAACATGAACAGATATCTCACCAGCAGGGTACCAAGAGCATGTTCATGGTTATTTGCATACATGGAATAAAGCTTTAGAAATGGTGCCAGGGACAGGAATGCATCTCCTATCGATGTTGTCTCTAACTGTTCTAGGAGTTCTTTGTTGACTTCTATGATATTCCTGATGTTGCTGAATATTGTGGCTTGCACATGCTTTGGTACCAACTGACTTTCTGTCAAAGGGTCAGCAAAATACTGGAAATGATACAAAGAAACTTCTTTTATATTTCCCTTTAGCATGCAATGCACTATTTCTTGGATAAAAGAATTACTGAACACTTATAAAATTTAGAAAATGCTACTTGAGTTCAGTTAACTTCTTACCTTTCAGAAAACAATTTTATCAACAGTATTATGTACTAAGAATAAGTCAATTAATTTTCTTCAATCAACAGTTAGTAATGGAATTATTTACCTCCATTATTTTATGTCTATCTAGAGCATCTTCATCAGTGAATGAGGCTTTCCAGGTGAATAGCCTCTATCGAGGGCATATCCCCTACAAACACACTCTAACTGCCTTTGATAGGAATGAGACTGCCATTTAGTGAAAAATTCAGAGAATATGGTGTGGGATCCAAAGGCCACATAGACTTAAAGGTCAGAAATCTGCCAATACTCAATAGAAAAATAGAAAAAAAAAAGAAAAAAAAAATCTCATCTCTGCTTGGAAAAGGCAGGTACACTTATCACAGACGTACATCAAAATACTGGAGGTAGAAAACAATTTAGTAATAGCTGCTGATTATTGTTTCAATCTTCTTACCTTTACAATTAACTCCAGATGCTTCTGATACGTCCTTTCAGTGTCAAATATCTCCTTGATAATCTTTTTACGTCTCCTTTCTCTCCGTGCCAGATCTTTGCTGTCTTGATCCTCCTCATCTGAGGTATTACAAACCTTCTGACGGGCAGAACCTTCATCATCTTCACATTCCTTTAATGCCTCTAGGACTACAACATAGAAATGTATACAGTATTTTCCCATTATATTTTAAAGATCATAATTTTAAATTGTCCAATATACATGAAGATCAATAAACATATGTGACATATATTATGTATATTTATTTTATCATAAATATAGATAAATATAAATAATATAAAAATTAAATGGGTGACCTATAGCCAAGTCTCAGGGGAGCATTTACTGCTGTGATTGATATACAGTACTACTTTAAAAACTTACAGTAGATGGTATGTAACCAATAAAGCTTATTTTATGTTGTTTATGGAAATGAAATATTGTCAAGCATTTTTACTAGTACTTAATTACTTACGGTACTAAATTACTGTAATAAATACAAAACTAAATCTGCCATTTCATGTAGCAGTATGTAGTTGTTTACCCTACCTCTAACACGACTTCTTGTTGACAGCATGACAGAAACGGTTATAGCAATTTCAATACTGGAAAAAATACAATATTTTTAATTAAGGAATGAGGAAAAATTAGTTCTTTTGCAGAATCCCCCCTCCCTGTATCTGTCTTATTTTAAAGGCAACCAAAATTAAGTTATATGGTGACTATGATCAATGTCTCTTCTTTTCAAATAAATTAGTTTTGTATTTTACTAAATAATTATTTAAATATCTTTTATTAAACCTTCAAGCTCTGGGAGATTACAGAAAGCTCTGTAAGATTACGGAAAAATTTCACTCAAGCAATGGCCTCCACTTTGGATGGCATGTACTACAGTATGTTTCATGCAAAAAATCAAGTTAAATTGGCATACTAAATAAATTGCCGAACTATTTATTAGAATTTCCGGGACACATTGCTCAAAGTTACCACAAGTTGGTTAAAAAAGATATTGAAAAATCAAGAGTTTTATGGTGGTGGTGGTGGTGGTGGTGGGGGGCTTCGGGAGGGAAAACTGCAAAAGTGCCAAATCTTTGTAACTTGAATATCCATAACGTGATCAATATCAAACATTTTCACTTCAGTTAATAATGTAACAATCAGAAGGGCCTATGAAGCAGGTGTCACCTCAATGTTGACATGGCTACAATGAGTCACTACAGGCATGCATTGCTGTAAATCTCAAATTTATATTTAAATACAAATATGTCGAAATGAAAAGGGAAAGCATTGGACCAATTATAAAAAAATTACAAGATTGTACAAGGTTTTCTCTAACTGGATGTGCTTAAAATATTACTCTTCATAATTATCTTACCTGTGATTAAAACAGCGGTGTCAAGAACAGCATAAAAAGTGAATGAAAAATCTCATTATCAACACAGTGAATGTTTCAAATGGTTCAAAACAGGTGCTCTTTTACGAAGAAACTGACGTCCGCAATTCCCATTGGTCAATTTTGTAGGTCACATTAAAGGCAAGTACTAGGTCATTTTGTGCGACCTAAACCCCTGCAAGCTAATGGCTTGGAGGAGGGGTGCATTTTTTTTGTTTACAAATATTGACTCATTGTGAAAAAAGAAGTTTTGCACTGATATGGTTTGATGAAAGGTTTTAATGAATGTTTACATTGCCTCAGTAAACACTAGCTGCCACTTATTTAGTGAGCCTTAGCAGTAATAAATAGGCCCAATTAGTCCATGGCTTCCGCGTCTCAGCTCGCCACGCGCTGAGCCCACCCAGAGCTTCAGAGTCATGAACGCGGTAAGTTGCCTTAAGTAATACTCTGATACAGACCATTTGAGCGACATAGACTGTGAAACACCCGGGAAAATTACTTAAACATACACGAGGCTAGTATTAATGTTTACAATAAAATACTCTCTCTCGATCCCTCCTCTCTCTCTCTCTCTCTCTCTCTCTCTCTCTCTCTCTTTTACTTTGTTGCTACACTTGATCGACATTACACATATTTTTTAGTATTTGTTAAGATGCATTTACTTGAATTTTTTATAGTGTAAAATGTTTTTGAGATCAAAAGCCTCTGCATTGGAGGAACTTAGATAACAATCACATTTTCTTTTTTCATCTTGGCAAACTTCTGTTGCTTCCTGTAGATTTATTCTTGATAAATATGCTCAAGTTTCATTGTAGTCAGTTTGTGGTTTGGACCCATGGTGGCTGACGGAAGTGAGACCTAACAATGAAAACAGCAAAGCGTGCCTTGGAGTTTGCTTTGAAACCTGAGTCTAACAGTGGCAGGGACATATGCAGTGACCCTAATAATAACAGCTGAGGCTACAAAGGATGACCACCCCATAGAGAAAAAACTTGTGATCATGATGCAAGGTACTAGTGATTTCTGCAGAGATGAGATTTATTCATTTTTTGTTACTTTTTTTCCATGACAATTGAATCTGTAGTTATTAAAGACAACTTTATATATATACATGTGTGTGTACCTTATCTTTAAAAAATGACGAGCTTATATTTGGTAATTTTCAGTCTTATTTTTTGTTTGTTACTTAACTATTGTGATGGACATGCCCTAATGACACCACAGTATGTCACAATATTTCACCATTTGAAACTATTTAAATGGGTATTGAAATTAATTTATAAATGAAATATATAACAGAATCAACAATTACAAAGATGGATAGGGAAACCCTTTGTAAGTTAATCAAAATAAAGAATATATCATTGTAGTTAATAGATAAACATGGAGAAGAAAGAGCAAATTTCCTTCCAAAAGTTCAATGGCTGGGAGGTAAGTGTTCCCTGTTCCAAGCCTCTGAAGCCTCAATGGCGCACCAGGATCTGTATGTCCTGGATACTGAATGATTGTAGTTTTGTCATGTCATCTTTTTCTTCTATTCACAAAACACACCACAATACATGTTACCACAAATTTATAGAATTAAACACAGACCACATTGATTATATAATTTTAGGCCTAACACCAGAGGTTTTCAACCCGGAAAAGGCATTATGGAAGATAGATCAGAGAGTAGTTTAATGAGTGTTCTTGTGTTTTGACTGTAATGTAAAACAAGGGGTGCAGGCCTGAGCTCACCACCTGGCTTTCACTGTTAATTAAGATAAGGGAGCGTGCTACCGGGAATTGTTTTCGCTGATAACATTTAGTTTTGATTTTGCAGCAATTAGTGTTGGGTTTGCCACTACTATCTGAACACCCAAGCTGGCAGGAGGCACATTTGGTTTCATCTCCATTGATTGAAGCAGTAGTGGCATATCTCTCATAGTTGTAACATGTCAAAGGTTTCAAGGAAGAAGACAGTCTTGGGTGAGTATATATGTGCTTTGGGGAGCTTTTCAAAGTTATGAAAAAAATGTTATTGGTGTATTCTTGTCTCTCTAGATTTGAATTTCAGATGTTAATTACCTTTTGTTGAATATTTTTCAGCATAACCTTCTTTCTAGTATCCTGACAGTCAGATGTAATGTAGTCAAAAGTTTAATTTATTGAAGCTAAATGTATATCTAACAGAATCAACAATTACAAAGATGAATAGGGAGACAATTTGTAAATTAATCAAAATGAAGAATATATCATCGCCCATCATCATGCTTAGTTTTTATTTATTTTACTAGTATACTTTAACAGTTCAGAGAAATGCATGTTGAAATTGTTTTGGAGCACTTTCACAGCACAGATATGCTAAAAATGAAAAAAATTACAAAAACTATATGTTCACTTTTATGGTGGTTGTTGGCTTTGGGATGGCATATATTACTTATGTATATTTTTAAGTCAAGATGGTTTATATTGTTTTAGATATGCAAAACTGAATGAAATTCATTGTGTCTTGTTTGATAGTTTGGGGTTGCAATTATTATGTAGTAGAAAAGCACTAGGAGAGTGCAAACCTCTACACATTTGTTTTTATTATTATTATTATTATTATTTATAATTAACTAATAGATCACTACCTGAATTAAGAAAGTGTTAGTTAGCCCTTGAGAGACTTATCTTGAAAATTTTACCAAAATATGGCCACATTTTTTTGCTAGGGGAAAAAACAAAAACATTACTTCTTTGGTGTAGGTAATGCGTTGTGCTGGGAACTGCAGCATTGCGTTTTCCCAGAGCATACACTCTATGTCTCACCTAACACAATAGCATTGATTGAGGCAGACGGCCAGCTGGTACAAACTTGTTTTGTGTGCTTAATTTTGTTCAGAAAAGATTAATTAAATACACTGTTGGTAGACCTAAATGATTACTTTTTCACAGAATTTCCAAGATCATTTTGCCTTCTTTATATGAAGCCTGTTCTTGATTAAAACTACTAAAGAATGTGTGTCACAAATGGCAATGGTAATGGCAGGATTATGAAGAAAAAAAATTAATTATGCTGTATGATGACACAGCTGTGGAAAATTATATCATGGTTCAAAGCTAAGATTAAGTCACTTGTCAATATTCAATGAAGTGGTGGTTTTTAATACTGTTGTTACAGCTGGTTTTTAATTTCATGAGGGTGTTGCATATTTAACATTTCAGATATCATTATAATTCATTTTTATGACTCGTTGAACACATTAAACTTAAAGAGTAATGTGGGTGTTAGAAATCCTATAGGGTATATATTTTCAGTTTATAAATTTAAAAATAATTCTTATCAGTTATATATATGTTAAAATGTCGCATCTATTTTAACTTGATGGAAATAGGTGCAGTTGACTGATTAATTGATAGTCCTTATACCTGGTAACACTGATGAGACTTTTCCGACTTTTGTTGGAATTCCGACTTTTTCAGTGTCATTTGTGTCATTCTTGTGAATCATGTACCCTGGACCCTCGGCCAATTTTCCTACTTTTTCAGTGAGGACTGGTCTCATCCCTGTAGTAAGATAACCTAAAAGTACATTTGAGGATTCCCAGTAACGCACATAAACCACTATCCAACTACATCGTGCGAAGTCAAAAACCAAATTAATCCTTCATTCAGCCAAAAATAGCTTTAAACTGCAACTTCTTCAATTTTCAGGTTGGAAGTTGACCTATTTATCTGCCCCTCCAAATTGTCCGCTAAATGATGTGGCACATTGCATACGTATTCCAACGAGTTGCTGAAAAAGACCGAGGGTTATATAAAGCACAGAAAGAAAGCAGAAAATATCTGCTCAAATGCCATTTTTTCAGAAAATATAAAATCATATCCTTTGGTGTATCTCTAAGTTATACTATTTGAAGCTGTATGGTGCCGTTTGGTTGGGTTTTCTAGCAAAAAGTAAAAGTAAAGAGTATTTCACCAGTCTACCTTAAGCTTTCAAATGATTATGTTTAGTTCAATTTTTGTCAGTTAAAAACCTCCCCTGACTGATATGAGACAGTCTCTGAGAAGAATCATTTCTGCAAAGAAAAATGTCATATTCTTTTGCATGAAAGTTGACACAAGAGTTAAGCTCTCTACGGGCTCTGTGTGTCCAAAATTAATGCACATAAACATGTACCCAGTCATGTAAAGTTAAGTCAATACATTTCTGTTGTATCAGACTTTTTTAATGATTGAACAGACAAATATTGATATATGTCTTAAGTCAAAAATTCAGTCTACAAAAACTATGTTACAGTTCATTATATCAGACCATTTGAGTACCATGTTAGTTTACCCCTATGACATACAGCTAAAACAATACAAAATTATTTATTCAATTAAGCTGTAACAGACAAAACATGTGGCGTCAAGTCACTTATGTACACAATTTTGAAAGAGTAAACTTGTAATGTAGGAAAAAAGTATGTGCAAGATTTGATCCATTGTTTTTATCATTCTTTATAAAATTTTGTATGCATAAACTCTATGTTAGGACTATGCTGGCTATGATCAAGGATTTTAGATTTTCAATTATCTCTTTGTTCATGCCATTTTTAGTCTAATGACGCACAGTGTTTGTGTATAATGTATCATTATTTTTAATCTCTTCCCATGTCATTATGTATGTCATCATTGATTTAATGTGTTAATATGTACACAGTAAAAGACCAAACATCCGAATGCTGGCTATTTTTGTTACCTGTATGTTTTTTTCCTACGTTCTAACTTTAATGACGCGGTGAGAATGGATTGTTGGTGGGGAAATAAGTTGGTACATGTTACTCGTTTTTTTTAGCCACCTAGATTGCACCGTCTTATTTTGATTTGTTCTACAGTTTCTTTGTTGATTCTCTCTGATACACGGTAGTTATCCCAGAACATACCTTTACAGTTGTAATACATAAATTCCAGTGTGGAACAGAGTCCAGATCTTGTCATCTCTGTGTTAAATGGTAAAACTGTGGTGTGCTGAAAGATGTAATGATGATTATCTTGTTTGCTGTATTTGTCACTGTTCTTGTTACAAGGTAACTTTCATACCATCTCTAGAATATCCAGGATGGATTAGGA